TATGCATATAAATATATATATGTATATATATATATATATATATATATATATTATATTTGTATATATATATATATATATATACATATATGTATATATATATTTATATACATATATGTATATATATATATATATATATATATATATATATATATATATATATATATATATATATATATATATATATATATATATATATATATTTATATGCATATATGTATATATATATACACACACGAGGCTTATTAAAATTTTTTTAATTTAACTTAGTTTCATATTTTCATACACTTTTATTTTGAAATTTTAGATTATAATAGCTTTGAAACAATGGTAATGAAAGTTTTTTCATCGTTCTAAATTTATGGTAAGTTAAATATGCTTTTTTGTTATAAAATATATATTATTATGTTGTTGAATTACATTAATATTTTTATAAATTACGTTGTAGCTAAAGTTATGGTCGTAAAAGATTAAGAAAAATCTTATGGGTGCAATTATTCATCTGACATCTGCGAAATTACCAAAAGAATTGACCATCGCTGTTTATTGTATTTTTTTAAATGTTCTAGTTAAACAATCTATTACTTAATTATTTGTTATTTTTATTATTGTTTTATAAATAAGCGTCCTTATTGCTTAGCGACTAGTTAACCCAGCAAACATGTCAGCGTTGAATCAACGTTGAAAACCGGTCGCAAAAGGTGTTGCGGAAACGTTGACAAAGTAATCGATTTTGCAAAGATTTGTCAAGTTTTTAAAGAGACGTTGATTAATCGTTGTAGCGTAACGTTGAAAAAACGTTACTAAAAGACGTTACAAAAATGTCTCAACTAAACGTTGAAAAAGCGTTACTTAAAAAGCGTTGCATAGGCGCCGCAACTTAACGTTGAAAAAACGTTACTTGGAGAGCGTTACTTTAACGTTGTTAAAGCAGTCGATTTTGCAAGAATTTGTAACGTTGGTAGTACAACGTCGATTTAACGTGACTCAAAGACGTCGAGTAAAGGTGGAAATATTACGTTAAATCAACGCTCAAATGCGCTGGAAAAACATTATTAAACGTGATTAAACTTGGTTATAATGTATATTGAATTTGCAAATAAAACAAAATTGTATGTTGAACTCTGCACTTGCAATATTTCCAAAGTCGATTTTTAATACAAATAGTAATATACAATGAAAAAAACAAAAAATATACAATTTATTTATATAAAATTTACAATTTATAGATAAAAATATAAACATCTTTTTTACGATTTATGCGTGTGAGTGAATTTACAAGATTTACGTGTGTGAGTAAAATTTATGTGTGTGAGTGGATTTACAGGATATCGTATCAATTAGCCAGGATATCATTGAGATACAGAATTTAAATCAAAAAATAAAACTTGTATCATTATCAATCTAAAAGTAAATGTTTAAAAAATGTTATTGAATTAGTATGATTATTATTAAATATAAAAAGGATAATATATATATATATATATATATATATATATATATTTATATATATATATATATATATATATATATATATATATATATATATATATATATATATATATATATATATATATATATATATATATATATATATATATATATATATATATATATATATATATATATTGTGATTGTCGTAATAGCATAAAAAAAGTAATTGTTTTTAAAAATAACACGACGTTTTTTATTTTTAAATTGTTTTGTAGTAAACAACTGGGCTTGATATTTGACTGGGGTCGGAGCCGAGTTTGATAAAATAAAGCCGGGGCCAGGGCCGGATTTGAGACCAGGCTGCATAAACATTTATACATCCAAAAGTATATTTTGATCTATTTGAACAATTATTTCTATAATATAGACTAAATGGATTATTTATAGTCTTGTTTAACTTTATATTTTAGACATATGACATCTAGTAACATACCATATAGTCTTGTTTAACTTTATATTTTAGACATATGACATGTAGTAACATACCATATTAGTTTAAATCAGTTGTAAAATTAAAAAAGTTAACATCTTTAAAAGGTATATTTATTTAGGTTAATTACAGCTAAGTTTACATGGCTAGTTAATATGCTTTTATAAATTGCAATTTTTATTAATTTTCAATATAAACATGTGGCATCTAATATCATAAACTAAGATTATACTGGTGTGTTTATACTGTTTTAGAATTTTTTGTTTTAGACACATGGCATTTGTTATCCCACTATAATTTACAGTGGGATAACAAATGCCATGTGTCTAAAACAAAAAATTCTAAAATACTTATTTCTAAAATTCAAATTCTAATTCTAAAACTTACAGTGTAAGTTAAAACTAGTCGTAAAATTAAAAAATTTATATTGGAACTTCTTTTTCTATTAACATTCATATTTATTTATTTATACTATCTTAGAAATTGTCCGCATATTTAATTTTGTTTTGATTTATCATAGTTTTTAAAAGGTTAGAGACTTTATTTTTTGCTCCTGATAGGTATTGTTGTATGTAAAATATATTGAGTCTTTCAGTTATCAGATAATATCAAGGTAATCTTACACTTTTTTTTCAATTTACATTTTAATAAAGATATAATTTACTTGTTCCATTTAACTTTATCTTTAAAAAAACGATATCAGAGATAATTAAAATAACAAATTTAGAATAGAAATTTGTTTATAATGAATTACCAAAAACATTTTTTACAGTGCTATCAATAACATTTTATTTTGGTTCTATACTAGGTATGTTATTAAGTTTCCATATTTTCCCTATTTTATTTCATATTAATCTTTAAGGAGTTGACAGCATGGTGTCCGATTTAAAGTGCGAACCAGTGTACGAGTAACAACAGTATTCAAAACCAAAACCTATTTAAACCAACCAAACCAAAACTAGCGACCAAAAACTATCTTGGCATTGGTTTATTTTAAACATCTATTATATATATGTGTGTTTTTTATATAAATGTACTAGCTTGAGTACTAGTAATATTGTAATATCATTGCAACTTGTATATATGAACCACCTTGAGTATCTAAACAACAAGGCTGACTTATTTCTTTTTCGGAAAAAAAAAAATGGCATATTCAAAATCTTTATCTTGCAGACAACTTTTTCCTTTTTCATATAAATTTCCAGATTTATACTGGTTATTATACCTTTCATACTTTGAAGCGTCTCTCACTGAGACATTATAGCCATAAAGTACTAGATTTTTTCTATGTATTTTAATTGTAATTTAAAGTATATTGGATTAAATATCATAAATATTTAATTAGTTTTCAATTTTTTAGATTAAACGTTTTAATGTAGAATATCGAAATAAAATAATGCAATTAAATAAAAATGCAAACATTAACAAATATAAGGATTATTTGGTTATGAAGTTACAATTCTGGCGTCTCTGATTTTAGATTTTAGTGATTTTAACGAAATAATCACTAAAATAACTTATTAACACATTTATTTCATTAGAATAACAACCGCGGAAAATTTGCTGCCTAGTGTAATAACTCCTTAATTTCAACGGATTATTCGTTGCACTAACGAAATAAATCCGTAAAGTCAACGGACTATTGCTAACGGACTTTAATTCGTTAAAATATTAATTCGTTAACTTAACGGATTTCCCGTTAGTGCAATAGCGACCGATAGAATTCGTTGTATATAACAGATTTTTTCTTAGAGTGTATTAATTGATAAACTAAAAATTTCAATAAAAGAAAATTCAGTAAAACATTATAAATAATTATAATTAACTATGCATATTAAGCGAAACCATAATTTCATCAACAAAACACTTATTACCTAAACAATTAAATTGAAATCATTACTATTAACTATTAATGTCATAGTGTAAAATTATTAGTATAAACAGTCACAACCAGAGTTTACATTAGAGTACTTTCTTTTTTTAAACCAAAACATTCTTTACATCAGCGTACAACAACAACAGTGTTTACAGCAACAACAACAGCAACAACACTTCTTTTTTTCTGGTTCATTTGATTCAAACAAAACAACTGCATCAGTCACATCATGAGCAGCATCAGTAACATCATTTCCCAAAACTTCTTTATGAATTGCGTCTTTTAGTCGCTGTTTTATATTGTTTGGAAGCAAAGAAGCACCATTATTTCCCCCATAAATAAATCCGTTTGAAATCCAATTAGAAATAATTTTAGTAGCATCTTTATTTCCTAGTTTATGCATGTCTTCTGGATATTCATTACCGTATATTTTTTCATCAAATTTATTGGAAACTTTTTTACAAAAGGTGATGAATTCATTATACCACATCATTGCGACTTTTTTTTGAGATTTTTTTGCTAAAATTAAATCTTGATTTTCAAAAATTATGCTTACAATAATATCCATAACCATATTATCGAACTGAGTTTGGCTAACGGCAAGTTTAGTTGTATTAATTGCAGCCTGAATCATTTCTACGGACTCCAAAAATTCCAAAACTTTGGTTATGGTTTCCTCTACAAGTTTAGGGATAAAAGGAACAATCCCAAGTATAAGCGATGCTACCATACTGCTTACAGTACTTTTGTTTAAAACAACCTTTCCGCTTTTCACTAAAACGGCAGTTTGATAACAGTCGCTTAATGTTTTATGAAACGCATAATAATACCAATACAAATGCGGAATCTTCTCAATATGCGCAAGCCTCGTTTTTGTTGTATTAAAAATTTCCTTTTCTTCCTCAATACTATCTTTGTACTCTTTGCTTTTTGCTATACTTTTGTCGTTTATCATATCTCTAAATAGACTACTTTGCCTTTCTAATAAAAAGGAGTCACATATATGAATATCTTGGATGTTTAGGCAGTTATATGATTTCCACATTTCTTTAAAACCATTAATTTTATAGTTGTTTGAATTGCAAATCTCTTCTAAAAGATCTCTCAGAGGCTTAGTGTCATCTGTAGAAATATTTTGAAATCCTTTAGTTTCAGGTAAGTATGCTAACGTTATAGACTTAGTAACAACACGTTCTGCATACTCTTGGTTACTGTTGTTTAAGTATGTCTTAAGTGCATCCTGGCAACAAGCAATGGCATTTTGATAGCAGTTTAAGTCTTTTTCGACCATCAGAGAGCTGTACGTGTACGCCATGAGAAAATTTATTTTTGTTTTGATAGTAACGGATTTATCACTAGCTTGTAATGCTCTTCTGCAATACTCTAAAACTTTTTCAGGATCTAGATTTTCTTTTCTGTCATTCATCCAAGAGAACCGTTTACACGCATATATTTTAGCTTGTATATAAAGACGATCAGCTTTATCATTTATATATTGTTCTTTTAAATCAAATATTTCTTTTGACTTGTTTTCATTAGCCCAACTTGAATCAAACTTGAAAGTTTCTGGGCTAGATAATAATCTGTATAAATGAAAGAAACAGTCTATTAGGTCACCAGCGCAATTAATTTCATCTCCGTTTGAAAAAATAGCAATAGCATAGTTGTAATACTCTATTGATTTGTAAAAAGTTTGCTTTGTTTTATCGTGGTAATATTGCAATATCATTGCAACTTGTATATATGAACTTCCTTGAGTATCTAAACAACAAGGCTGACTTATTTCTTTTTCAAAAAAAAAAATGGCATTTTCAAAATCTTTATCTTGCAGACAACTTTTTCCTTTTTCATATAAATTTCCAGATTTATACTGGTTATTATACCTTTCATACTTTGAAGCGTCTCTCACTGAGACATTATAGCCATAATTAGTAGGTTTATCTAGCTTTTCTACTAATTTATTTAAAATGTTCTCATAGTTATAACCAAAATGAATACACAAGTAGCGATTATACTCGAAACATTTTTCGTATGCATCGATTGCTATATAATATTTTTCTTGGGTTTTGTTTTCGTAATTATTTCCCTGAAATTTTGAATTGAAGTTAGAGGTGTAAATATCTCCTATAGTTTCATATGAACTTCTTAACATTTTCAAAAAGTCTTCATCTGTTTTGTAACTTGGTTCTTTTGTAATTATATTTATTACATTTCGCAAAACAGCAACTCCTAAATCTATTATTTTATCATTTGCATTAAAACTTAAAATTGCGTCCATTCCTATTTTTATAAAAATTTTTATTTCCTCTCGAATTTCCATGATTGGCCGCTTATGAACTGCATTGTCTCTTTCTAACTTTCCACATAACTGAGCATTGTCTCTTACTAACTCTCCAGTTAAGTTCGAGTTGTCTTTTTCTGATGTTTCTAAATTGTGATTTTAATATTCGAAAAAATTTTAAATTTTTATAAAAAATAATAAGCATTAAATACATATGTTTAAAAGAAAGAATAAGTAAACAATTTTTTTTATGATTACATTTATCCAAAGTTGCAAAGTTAATTTTTCTAAATGCGATTTGCAAAGTGCCTTAAAAAAACATTTAAAAAACTCGAGATCAAACTAAGTATAACAAATTTATAAATCTACTTGCGAGGCGATCAATTTCTTTAACCAAATCCGACTTTTCCATGTCCAACAGAGTATTACGGATATCTTTAAAAGTAATGCTTTTTTTTAAAAATTTTTTAAACATTTCATAAGCTTTCATTTGAACCTTTTCATTGGTATAGTCAATTAATTCGAGATCATTTTCACTTATTGATAAATGGCGCCCTAGAATTTTCCAGTCACGACCAATTCTCTTTGACAATTCATTTAGAAACACCGGATCTTTCAAATTATCATACATATTTTCTTTAAGCTTTGAAGAAGTGTTTTACTAAAACGAAGTAAAAACTATAATTTAACAATTTCAGTAAAACAACAATATTTATTTCTATGTCTTTATTTTTAGTTTAGTGATTCAAAAGTAAAAAATTATATATATATATATATATATATATATATATATATATATATATATATATATATATATATATATATATATATATATATATATATATATATATATATATATATATATATATATATATATATATATATATATATATATATATATATATATATATATATATATATATATGTATTTTATGAAGTAATAGTTGATTTAACCCAGTAACCCCAAGGAATGTTTAACACGTTTCAAAAATGTTGTGTTGTTTAACTCTAAAATCAAAAGCTGCGCATTTCGTAAACGACAATAAGCTTTTCTATATTGAATTCAATCTTGTTGAATAAGGCTTCATTATATTAAAGAGACAGTTTTAACACTTAACAATATAATAGCAAGTAAAAATAAACAAAATGGCACTTAATAAACATTAAAATAATTTAAAATGTAGTTGACCAGATTTCTTTTAGATATCTTTTAAGCCTAATAATAAACTTGAAACGTTAAAGACTACAACATTGTGAAACATTTTCTACCTTTTCCTTAAGATTTTTTAGTTTCGCTCATACTTTTTTAACCGTTTGTCCGAATGATTTTATTTAGTAACTTTAAATTCAAGAAACAGGCATTGTATAAAATATTTCTTTAATATATTTTAAAGAGTAATTTAAACTCTGCTTTTATACTTTAGTGTTTAATTTCAAATGTAAGTGCCAACTTAAATTAGTTGGTTTTACAAAAAAAAAAAAAAAAAAAAAAAAAAAAATAATAATAATAATAATAAAAGCAATATTAATAATAATAATAATAATAATAATAATAATAATAATAATAATAATAATAATAATAATAATAATAATAATAATATATATATATATATATATATATATATATATATATATATATATATATATATATATATTTATATATCTATATATATAGCAAGCAATTTAATTAAAACAATATGAAAGAAAAAGAAACCAAGCAAAACAACATTATTCAAAAAATGAATCAAATTTTTATATTAAAATACTACTAAGAAAATATTAAATAGTACTAGAGGCCTTTCAGTATTGATTATCAGTAGTACTATTGCAAATGTAATTATCATGACTTTGATTTATGTAAAAAGTTATATAATAGAAGTATTTAATAGCAGTTTTTGTAACTATGAGTTACCATTGTTACAGGGGTGGGACCGCAAAATGTGAACACTTTTCTGATTGTAATAATTAATTTTCTGTTAAATATGAACTATTTTAAATAAGAATGTCCAATGGTTGGACATTCTTATTTAAAATAGTTCATATTTAACAACTCTTTAGACACTTTCTGATGAGTGAGAGAGTACAACTACATCTAACGAGAAAATAGTTATAATAAAACAAAAACGTTCACATTTTGCGGTCCCACCCCTGTATGTTATTATAAAAGGAAGTATTAATTGAAGGCGTCATGTTTTTATTTATGCAGATAATTTTCATAGGTCAATAAATTATTTTCATTTTTTAATTCGAGAAAGACATAAAGCTGAAAAAATCGCTCTGTAATTGTTTTGTGTACTTTCTTGCAATCATATACATGATTTTCGAATCTATCTGTTGAATTGCCAGTTTTGCAACTGGAAAGATGTCCAATTGTGCGGTTTCTTAAATTGTTTGTTTTTTCCAGTATAAGTAGATATTCCATTACATGATAAGCATTTTAGATAATGAATGACATTTTTACTATTACATGTAATGTGACTTTTAATGTTCCAAATTGTACCATTGGATGTCTCTATTTATCTACCTCTTGTAAATATAATCGGCAGATTTTACATCGACTGTTTTTGCATTTGAATAATTCCATTATTTTGACAGATAACGTAGAGTGAAATTTTGAGCGCGTAGTTTGTTTAAGTAACTTTGGTTGTTGTTTGTATGCTATTACTGGTTGAATATTTGAAAAAAAATTTTTTAATCTTTCATTATCAGATAAACTAAGTAAAAGGTTAACTTCAGTTAAATTTGGTTGACAGTTTAAATTACTGTAGAAGGTAGCCACCAAAGAAAAAACTTCTTTTGATTGTTTCATTGGCGCTGGCCCTTGTAACATTGCATTTTGAAATGCTTTTTCTCTTACATTATAAGGGTAATGACACTCTTTTAACCGTATTTTAAGTTCCGTTAGACGTACTTTTTCTGTAGCATAATCAGACGTAAAAACGATTATTCTTTTAGCTAGGTTATATGGTATATTCTATTTTATGTGATACGGATGATGACTGTTAAAGTTTAAATAGTCATGAGTGTTTTTTTCTTTGTAAAAAACATCTGTTTTAATGTATTTGTTTTTTTCAAGGATAACCGAAATGTCTAAAAAATTAAATGTGTTATATACTTTTTCGCTTGCTTCGAATGCCAAAATCTATTGAAAAATTTATTGAATCATGTAGTTCTGTAAGGGACATTTGGAACTTAGCAATATCTATATACTTTGGTAATATGTTAAAACCATCATCGACATATCTAAAATAAAACTATTTATTAATTTAACTTCTTTTTTTGAAAAATTTTTGGGTAAAATTTTCGCAAAAAGCATTGTTTCTTCTAAAAAACCAATTGTAAGACAAGCATAGTGCCCATGGCTGTTCCTGTAATCTGGCGGAACAATTAATCGTCAAAGTAGAAATTATTATTTTTAAGAATGAAAAAAGCTGAATCTATGATAAAATCAGTGGTAAATCTTTCGGCTATTAGATTTTATGTTTTTCAACCCAAAATTTTAATGCTTGTAAACCAAGATCATGTGGAATGCTTGTGTAGAGATTTACAATGTCACAAGTTAATATAACACTATCTGAATCCATTATTGTAGGAATTTTTTTTTAAAAAGTAAAGTCATCTTTTACAAAAGTCTTTTGTTTCTTTACAATAGGAGATAGGATTATGTGAAGAAGTTAGCTTAGATGCGATGTTGGTAAATCTATACCAGCAATAATGGGCCGACCTTTTGAATCTTTTGGTGGTTTCATTTTGATAAATAGAGAGCTAGATTCTTGAATTTTTTTAATAATTTCATTGCATTTATGAATTTTTGGGATTACATAAAAAGTACAAGATTTCCATTCGAAATTTGTGAAATATAATCAATTTCGTTTTGTGTAAAACATTTATGTTTTGCAATCATTTTTGAAAGATTTTTGAAACTTATTTTGTCAGAGTCAATATTAGTTTTTTCATATGTTTAAAAAAAAAATAGGTGATCTTGATTAACTAGTTTGTCTTTATAATAGGTTGAATCCATTATAACTAAGGTGTTACCTTTATCTGCTTTTTTAATAACAATATCTTTCATTTCTTTGAGTTCTTTTAAAGCAATCTATTCTTGTATTGAAATGTTGTCAACTGATTGAATTTTTATTGGATTTACTTGCTCAATTCTTGAAATTATTTCATCAAGTTCAGGTAGAGTTGTTTTAATATTATATTTTGATTTATTTTTTACTATACTAATATCGTTATTGTGTAATTCAAAGAATTTTTCTTTTAATCTGAGTTTACGTGTAAACTGCTGAATGTCTGATTTTATATGCAATTTATTTCTTTTTGTAGCTGGACAGAATTTGGGTCCTTTTGTCAGAAGTGTTATTTGGGAAGTGACCAGGTGCTTGGTGGATAAGTTGACGACCTAAGGTTGTATTTTTTTGGTATTGTGTTTATCCAGTTTTTTGAAGATAAACTTTCTGATATATGGTTATTATTACTAATATCATTTGATAAAACGTTTTCAATATTGTAGCTGTTTTTTTTTTCAATGACATTTGTTGAACTCTTTAAATTTATATATAAACGATCTTTATGAAAAGCAGACTTAGTAGAAAGGGTTTTTTTTGCCCATTTAATATATATGCGATCTTTATCTTCATTTTTACATTCTTCATATCGGAGAATCAATTTTTCTTTAAGACCTTCACACTTTGTATGTTTATTGATAAAATTTGTCACTTCAGCTTATATATATGTATATATATATATATATATATATATATATATATATATATATATATATATATATATATATATATATATATATATATATATATATATATATATATATATATATATATGTATATGTATATATATATATTTTATACATATATATATATATATATATATATATATATATATATATATATATATATATATATATATATATATATATATATATATATATATATATATATATATATATATATGTATATATATATATATATATATATATATATATATATATATATATATATATATATATATATATATATATATATATATATATATATATATATATATATATATTTGAATGGTTATTTCTTACCTTAAATTGGGATTTAGACAATAATAGTTAAAGAAACCCATTGTGTGTACTTTTTACCAGTCGTGACGTTTGCTCCGTTGTTTGAAAACTTTAAGAGGCCAAATTTTATGAAAACTTGTAATGAGTTTGTCAAGCGGTTAGTACTCTTGAATTCAAAATTGTTTCTAGTTTTATAAAAATAAAATCATTTCATTGAATTGTAATGCAATTCACTATTTATTCTTGGACCAATATTACACTTGGAATAATCAATTTTTTTAGTTTGGTTATTTGTGCAGCTGTATCAATATTTTAAATAAGTTCATTTTATTACTTAATTTCTACACAGCTATAGGGAATTAAAAGTATAAAAATACTTAACTAATTCTGTTGATACGTTCTAGTTTTAAAATGCCAAGGATCAAAGTTGGTGTTTTTTGCTAGAAGTTTTCCGGAACAGATATACTTAATGCAGTAAATTGTGGTAAACCACTTGGCTAATGCTGCAATTATGCATAATGAACTTACAATAAAGCAGATAATATCATTTGCATATGATTACGCTTAAACAAATTATAAAAAAATTGAAA